CACAGTGGAACACAAAAATGAGGAACCCTAAGTCAGGAGAAGAAGGTCAGTCTCTTTCAACTTCCTTCACTCACGGTCACCAGTGCCTAGACCCAAGCCTACTCTTGTCACCATCAATACTCCTTCTAAGGAAACCCAAGGCTATTACTAGTTTTCTGAGGTCACCTTTCTAGCTCCTTCCCAAATGGCTGATAATAAGTGATAATAAGAAAGTGTATCAAGATTTCATATCAACCATAGTTTTCCTCCTGGGCTACTGTCTGTCCCAGAGCTTGAGAGGTCAGGTGTGCAGTGAGAAGCAGCCTCTGAGATGGCTTTCAATGTAGCCCAGACCCTGGCATTCACATCCTTATGGAGTCTCCTCCCATGTTGTACCAACAGAATAAAATATGGCAAAAGTGATGGCATGTCATTTGCAAGATTAGATTATAAAAGACATTGTACAATCTCTCTCTCTCTCTGGCTCCTTGTCTTTCTCTCCCTACCCACCCTGCCCCCACCCTCAGAGCTGATTAGAAGCTACAATGGTAATCATATTACAATATATGATGGGTAAAATGGAGTGTAAGCTTTAAAACTTGTGAATCACTATATTGTACACCCGTAACTTAAATAATATTGTACAGGGACATTACTTCAATTTTAAAAAAAGAAAGAAGGGACTTCCCTAGTGGTTCAGTGGTTAAGACTCTGTGCTTCCAATGCAGGGGCCATGGGTTCAATCCCTGGTTGGGGAACTAAGTCCCCACATGCCACACGGCCAAAAATTAAGTAAGTAAATAAATAAATATATGCAACTTAAAAAGTTTTTAAACAAATAAAAATAAAAACCATAAAGGCTTCCCTGGTGGTCCAGTGGTTAAGAATCCAGCTTGCAATGCAGGGGACACTGGTTCAGCCCCCAATCTGGAAAGATTCCACATGCCAAGGAGCAACTAAGCTTGTCATGTACCACAACGAAATGAAGCCCATGCACCTAAAGCCCATGCTCTGCAACAAGAGTTTGTTGTTTAGTTGCTAAGTCATGTCCTACTCATTCAAGACCCCATGGACTGTATCCCGCCAGGTTCCTCTTTCCATGGGATTCTCCAGGCAAGAATACTGGAGGGGGGGTGCCATTCCCTTCTCCAGGGCATCTTTCTGACCCAGGGATGAAACCTGATTAATCCCTGATCTCCTGCACTGCACTCAGATTCTTCACTGCCGAGCCACCGGGGAAACAACAAGAGAAGTCACTGCAATAAGACGCCTGCACACCACAACTAGAGAGAGTAGCTCCCGCTCACCGCAACTACAGAAAGCTTGCACAGCAATGAAGACCCAGTGCAGCCATAAATAAATAAAAATAAAAAAGAAAGAAAGAAAGAAAGAAAAAAGGGACATTAAATGGTCTGCTTCATGGAGTGGGGAGCTTTCTGTCTCTAGGAAGCTTCAGGTGGAGGCTTACTGTTACTTGATGGGAAGATCTGGCTTCCCGAGCCCCAGCCCCAAGACTGTCTAATTCCATGTGGGAGGCAGCAATCTGGAGGCTCAACAGAATGACAAATCTCACTACCTCCCCTGAGGGCTTTGTCTCCATTTGTAACCGAACCACGGTGGTGAGGAAGCCAGCAGCACCCGCTGTTTGGCTAAGCAGTGACCACCTGGAAGGTAGTCCAGCAGCTTGATGAGAGCATACCCCAGTCTCGGTCTCAGAGCAGGTAAAACTCCTTCAACTTCAGCAGGAATAAGGGGGCCACAGTGACAAGCAGCTCCTCTTACTGCTCTGATTTCCTGCACGGAGTTTAGCTAGTTCTCAGACTTAAAGGTTATTCTGTGAATTGCAATGAGCTGCGTGCCAGCTCTCCCTCTCTGCCTGACAGCCTCCCTTTTTCTTTCCAATAACAGATTGATCTGCTTACTCACTAGCACATAGCCATGAGGGAAGATGGCAGGTTTTTGCCACCTGTATTTTTATTTGTGCATCCCTCCTTCAGAAACAGCTCATCAAGAGCATCATTTTTTCACACCTGACCACAGGGCAACCCCCTTCAGCCAAACTCGCAAACTTGCCATCTGTCTTTTAAATGGCTAATTTGTTCACTTGTTTCATTGCATTCTTGTTTTGAATATCTGGGACGTGTATGTATGTGTGTGTATGTCTATGGAACTTGAGTTTAAAACTCCGAGTTCTGAAACCCCCCTCTCTGCAAGATGGCACATTCTATCTTGTAGGCGGGACTAGGAACTAGGAAGTCTTGGTGATTGACATAAAGTCTATCTGACAGACAGAGACAGCCTGGCTCTGTCGATGCTGGATCTGTGGGGCTTTGGTTTTCATCCTCAGGAGATATCTCATTGGATTCTGCATCTACCCATCCAGGCTTCCCATTTAGAGATGACTCTCTCCTTCCAGTGTGAGAACGGAGCACGTGCTGTTTTGCAAACACCCCTCCCCTGCTTTTAGCTCTAAACTTATTTGCTTTCTGGTTCCTTCGTCTGCTTTCCCTTTAATCCCTGTTTCCATAAGGTTGAGTGTGTTTCTCCTCAGAGCTCGTGTGCCTGACAGAAGCCTGGAGTTAACTGCTTAGGAAGAAATCCACACAGGCGTTTGGTTCTGAAGCCACCTCAGTACACAGTCTAGAGCAAGGCACTTTCGTTCTCAAAGCGTCATGCTGCTGAGACTGGGGTACTTCAGTCCAGGTAAAGTCAAGAAGTAAAATGTAGAACCTTCGCCAGGGCCTCGGTCAATGATCTGGGATACAACCAAGTGTTGGTAGCCTCAAAAGTCACCGTGTGACAGTGGTGTGCAGCGCTTCTAAAAATTCTGTCCCCACTGCCAGAAGGAATAAAGATGGCATGGCCTCTAAAGTCACCGTGTGACAGTGGTGTGCAGCGCTTCTAAAAATTCTGTCCCCACTGCCAGAAGGAATAAAGATGACATGTGGGTAAAAAACAACACATTTTGTGTCTCTTTATATTCCAATCAGAATTGGCTATATAAGGGACATCCCTGGTAGTCCAGTGGTTAAGGCTTCACACTTCAATGCAGGGTGCATGGGTTCGATTCCTGGTCGGGGAACTAAGATCCTGCATGCCACTCGGTGTGGCCAAAAAGTAAAAATTTTTAAAAAGAATTGGCTGGTTGGTGGAATCCAGTGGAACAGAAAGTTTCTTTCTTTTTTTCTTAAAGATTTTTTTTATGTAGACCATTTTTGAAGTCTTTATTGAATTTGTTGCAGTATTGCTTCAACATTGCTTCAGTATTGCTTTTTGGTTTTTTTGGCCATGAGGTATGTGGGATCTTAGCTTCCTGATCAAGGATGGAAGCAGCACACCCTGCATTAAAGGTGAAGTCTTAACCACTGGACTGCCAGGGAAGTCCCAAAAAGTTTCAGTTGGTACACCTCATTGCTCTAAAATGAGATGGTTTCTTGAATCACAGGACTTGCAGTCAAAGAGTATACCTTATTCTGGATTGTTTCCCCACCCCCTGCAGCACCTTGTAAATGACTGGCCTAAAGTAACTGCACAGCAATTCACATTTCCCAAGTTTCCTCAGGGGTTAACAACCACAATGATAAAGGATTCTGAGGTTTTTAAAATGCCAACTTTGAAACAAAGTTTTAACATTTTCCCCCAGCAGCATTTCTCAGACCTTCTAGATACCAAGGTACATTGTACCATTTCAAGAGTGAGGGAGGTACTTTTCTGCATTTTCCAAAGTTCTTTGACCATAGTACTCCTTCTTGCTGAGCACCCTATGGGATCACCAGCTCCCTTTACTCTGATAAAAGGGTTAAGAGCAATAAAGGAGACCCTAACTCAATGGACTTCCCAGGTCGATTCACAGCCTGCCCCAGCAGCCCAGATGAACTGAGCCAATCTTGAGGATAATAGTGTGGGGTAGAGTTTGAGACATCCAGGATTATTCTGCATGCCTCTTCTTACCAAAAATTTTAACCAGGCAACATCAGATTAAAACAAATAGCAGCAATTACTCAGAGGTGTGTTAACCAGAGCCCTAGCTTTTACTTTTCGTGGCATCCTTGGTCTTCCATTTATTACCTTCAGTAATCATTTGCTGCTTTCACCAGAAAATAGAGAGTGAAGGGCTATAAAGTCATTAGTTTAGGATCAGCTAATTCAACCAGCTGTAGTAACTTTTTCAAGATTGGTTTGTAGCAAAACCGAGACCAGAACCTTGGCTTCTTGCCAGGGCCCACTGCTCTTTGCTCTCCACCTCCAATCCTCTATGGCTCTAGAACTTCATAACCAGGTTCCTTCCCACAATATGAGGATATCTGATGCAGCCAGAGTCTATAGGGTCAACAGTTCAATGTTTCCACTGCCCAGTAATTTCTCTGTTCAACAGGATTTGAGTCTGTACACTTAGGAGCACGATGTATCGATGCAATGAATACTGTAGGAAGTACTGCCCATCAGTGTTCCATAGAGACATGGCCAACTAACAAGAACCTACTGTATAGCACAGGGAACTCTACTCAATACTCTGCAATGGCCTATATGGGGAAAGAATCTAAAAAAGATTGAATATATGTGTATATATAACTGATTCACTTTGATGTACAGCAGAAACTAATGCAACATTGAAAATCAACTATACTCCAATATTCAGCTGGAGCTGAGTTATCTATCTGGGTTTCTCTCTACATCCCTGAGTAAGAGAGTGGGCTCATTTAATGAAGCCCTAACATCTCGCCAGTGTTTCTAATGGCTTCCTGTCAGTCACTGACAGCAGAGGCCTCTTGGATTATTTTTTCCTCCTTTTAAAAAAGCCGTAAGATTTTCTAAAGCTGTAAGAACTTTGATGGAGGCCTAGCTTGAGCCACAGAAGGTACAGAGAAACAACAGTTACCTTGAAAAGTGTTAAAAATGGTAAAAAGATATAAGAAAAGGATCCTCACAGGTCCCCAGGCAAAAAAGGCCAACCCCCAGGTGAGACCAAGTAAGAAGGTCGGGCCAGTTGTGCCTTTGAGGTCTTGTAGAATCATCTTCCATCAAGTCTTTTGGCTTTGGGATTCCATGGAGTTCAGTTGAGCAAGAACAGTGCAGAACATGGAGAGATTCATGAGAAATATGAGGCAAAAATAAGCCACCACTGAGATGTAAAAGATAGGAACATCTTTAATCCAACAACTGGAAGAGACCAAGGAGAGAAGCCCACTGTGAGGTAGAGAAACATGAACTCCTACTTATTTTATTGGAGTGTAGTTGATTTTCAATGTTGCATTAGTTTCCGCTATACATCAAAGTGAATCAGTTATATATACACATATATTCACTCTTTTTTAGATTCTTTTCCCATATAGGCCATTACAGAGTATTGAGTAAAGTTCCCTTTTTTATACAATAGGTTCTTGTTGTTTATTTTATACATAGTAGTGTGTATATGTCAATACACACAATTTATCCCTCCCCCTCTTTCTCTCCTGGTAACCATAAGTTTGTTTTCTACATCTGTGACTCTATTTGTTTTTAAACTGCTATTTTTTTATGAGACTCTGAAGATCACTGAGTCAGTTTCATTTCACATGAGACCACCTAGGCCTAGGGTGTAAACCAACCCGACAGAGTTCACTCATGCTCATTGGGGGCAGAGCTGAGACCAGAACTCCGATCTCCTGAGCTTCAGTCCAAGGTTCCTCCCAGCCTCAATTTAGAAATCCTAGAGGACAGTTCTGCCTTACACATGCAGAAACTTCTCAGTCCAGTTCCCTAGGAGGCTATTTTCTTCCTCAACAGCAGAAAAGGAAATTACACATTTCCCCCCAATGTGGCTTACACCTGAGTTTTTATTTGCAGGATAGATTCTGCTTTGCATGATAAATATCACAGTGAAAGGACATAGGTAATGACTGGCTTTTTAGAATGTTATATCAAACAGTAATGAGATCATCAGAGATAATGAAAATGCAACAAAAACAGGACAGCTCTAACTGTATTGCTTTCAAATATGATGTTTATTTTTGACCTCCCACCACAGCTTCAAACTTCAAAAGGCAACTCTGGCCACTGGATTGATTAATGGCTCTACAGTTTCTACTAAAGAAGAAATATGTAGTAATTTATATGAACAGATACTTCATCTCATAATATGCCAGTTACTACAGACATTATCTCTGATTTTTGAACATAGACAAGCTTTACTAGTATAACTGTGTGTCAACTTAGCTGAGACTTCTTTTCCAGAACCAGGAAAATCCCCTGTGGTCATATTGTTCATGTTGGTATGGATACTTTCATGTACAAATGCCTTTTGTGTGTGTGGGTGGGATGGGATTCGGGCTGAGGGATGCATTTAATTCTCCCAGTAGAATCTAATACTTAGGGTTCCCCAGGCTTGTGGTTGCCAGTGGGGATGGGGATGGGAAAGGGATGGATTGGGAACTTGGGATTAGCAAATGCAAACTGTTACATATATGTGTCACTGAATCACTTTGCTGTATACCAGAAACTAACATAACACTTTAAATCAACTAGACTTGGATAAAATAGATTTTAAATAGATTTAGATTTAATAAATATTCTTACTGCATTCCTGTATGTGCTTATTTGCCAATCTGAAGTACAATAAATTGGGCACTTATTGCAAAATGTCTGTGGCTTATAACAATAGAGATGTTCAACCTTGTGGTCAAAACAACCCAGAACTTAAGGTTCCCCAAATATCACCTTCAACCTTAAAAAAGGCTCTGAAACTATAAAACTCCTAGAGGAGAACATAGGCAAAACACTCTCCGACATAAATCACAGCAGGATCCTCTATGACCCACATCCCAGAATTTTAGAAATAAAAGCAAAAATAAACAAATGGGACCTAATGAAACTTAAAAGCTTTTGCACAACAAAGGAAACTATAAGCAAGGTGAAAAGACAGCCCTCAGATTGGGAGAAAATAATAGCAAACGAAGCAACAGACAAAGGATTAATCTCAAAAATATACAAGCAACTCCTCCAGCTCAACTCCAGAAAAATAAATGACCCAATCAAAAAATGGGCCAAAGAACTGAACAGACATTTCTCCAAGGAAGACATACAGATGGCTAACAAACACATGAAAAGATGCTCAACATCACTCATTATCAGAGAAATGCAAATCAAAACCACAATGAGGTACCATTACACGCCAGTCAGGATGGCTGCTATCCAAAAGTCTACAAGCAATAAATGCTGGAGAGGGTGTGGAGAAAAGGGAACCCTCTTACACTGTTGGTGGGAATGCAAATTAGTACAGCCACTATGGAAAACAGTGTGGAGATTTCTTAAAAAGCTGGAAATAGAACTGCCATATGACCCAGCGATCCCACTTCTGGGCATACACACCAAGGAAACCAGATCTGAAAGAGACACGTGTACCCCAATGTTCATCGCAGCACTGTTTATAATAGCCAGGACATGGAAGCAACCTAGATGCCCATCAGCAGATGAATGGATGAGGAAGCTGTGGTACATATACACCATGGAATATTACTCAGCCATTAAAAAGAATTCATTTGAATCAGTTCTAATGAGATGGATGAAACGGGAGCCCATTATACAGAGCGAAGTAAGCCAGAAAGATAAAGACCATTACAGTATCCTAACACATATATATGGAATTTAGAAAGATGGTAACGATAACCCTATGTGCAAAACAGAAAAAGAGACTCCTATGTATAGAACAGACTTGTGGACTCTGGGAGAAGGCGAGGGTGGGATGTTTCAAGAGAACAGCATTGAAACACGTATATTATCTAGGGTGAAACAGTTCACCAGCCCAGGTTGGGTGCATGAGACAAGTGCTCGGGCCTGGTGCACTGGGAAGACCCAGAGGGATTGGGTGGAGAGGGAGGTGGGAGGGGGGACCGGGATGGGGAATACATGTAAAAAAAAAAAAAAGATACACTATGGTTGTGATAAAATAAAAAAAAAAAAAAGACCAGCAAAAAAAAAAAAAAAAAAGGCTCTGAAAATTTCTTAAAAAGGTAGCTCTATATGTTTGCATAGAGAATCATCTCCATGACATGTTAAGTACGCAAAGAGTTGGACACGACTGAGCGACTGAACTGAACTAATCTACTATTTGGGTGACAACGTGTGCAGGAGAATATCTACACAAATTTGATTGCTGGTAATAAGAGTTGCATAGAGGGATGAAAACTGGGGAGCTGGGCTTTGGGAGTGGACTTTACTTTTCATCCTCTTGTAAAAAGGACTTTACTTTTCATCCTCTTGTACCTTTCATCCCACCCTTTTGTACATTTGAATTTTATACTGTGTGCATGTACTATTTCTTCAAAATACAATTGTTTTTTAAAAAGCTCTTAGAGTACTCTGCCTTTTACTCACCAATTCACATATGAAAGGGTTCTTTTCAGGGGGAGTGGAGTGGATTTTGTTCTGGTTTTGCTTTTACTTTTGATCTTTGAAGAAGAATCACTATTAGACATTGGGGACCCTTTAAGTCACAAAATAAGCAAGGAAGGAGGATGGAGGAGATGAGAAGAAAGGGAAGAGAAAGGGGAGAGAAAGAAAGGATAACAAGGAATTATAATTAGAAGGCATCTGCTGGCAGTGGTAATATAATATTGACCCTCTGGAAACTGTCATCTCAATATGAAAGACAGAGAAGTCTGGGGGGGCAAGACCTTGTGCATTTGATTCCAGTCCAGTGGGAGAGGAAATCTATAGTGGAAAAGAACTTGAGAGGCTACGATAAAGAGAATGAACATAATGAAGAATGGATAAGTAAAAAGCAATTCGAAGTATAAAGTGAGGTTGTAGAACTGGAGCCCATTATACAGAGTGAAGTAAGCCAGAAAGATAAACACCAATACAGTGTACTAACACATATATATGGAATTTAGAAAGATGGTAATGATAACCCTATATGCAAAATAGAAAAAGAGACACAGATGTATAGAACAGACTTTTGGACTCTATGGGAGAAGGCGAGGGTGGGATGATCTGAGAGAACAGCATCGAAACATGTATATTATCAAATGTGAAACTGATCGCCAGTCCAGGTTCGATGAATGAGACAAGTGCTCGGGGCTGGTGCACTGGGAAGACCCAGAGGGATGGGATGGGGAGGGAGGTGGGAGGGGCGTTCAGGATGGGGAACACATGTACACCCATGGCTGATTCGTGTCAATGTGTGGCGAAAACCACTACAATATTGTAAAGTAATTAGCCTTCAACTAATAAAAATAAATGGAAAAAATAAATAAATAAAAAAATAAAGTGAGGTTGTACAGCCTGAAGAACTGCATGGTAACTATCTACAGGCCTGTGAAAGAAGGTTCTGGAAAGGTAGAGCAATTTGAATGGCTATTCTCTGGTACCTGTGGGTGAGAGAACCAAAGAGCTGGGCTTGTATATCAATTAGAGAAAAGAAAAAGTACATCAACAGGACAATAAGGCCAAGGTAATTTACAAAGGAAAGTTGTGGAGTCTTCTTCAGGAGATCTTTGTGGCTGAAATACAGAAAATGTTTCTAACCCACTTCAGTATTTCTTTATAGTGGCTCCTCCAACTCCTAAGTTCTGTGAGTTTTCTAATCATGACAGCTGCTGATGTCTATTATGTCAATTTCTTTTACTGTTTCCTTGCATTGTATCTACATCATTATTATATTCCCATTTCATAAATTTGAGAGCTCTTTACCAGCAAAAAAATTTAAAAATAGATAAACTAATTAATAATCGCTGCAAGATGCATATTACTTACCACAGAACAGGCCACATGCTGAGCACTTTATATACATGGCATCATTTTAATCTGCACCCAGCACTGAGCATAAACATTATTATGCCCATTTTCCAGAGGAGGAAATGGAAAGAAGAGGTAAAGTAAGTTGACCAAGGTCGTATGGAGTCCAGACGCCTTAGACATCTAACCATTATATCAGTGCACCCATTACTTTGTTAGAGTAAAAAGGCTGAGACTAATTTCCTCCCTGAAGCCAGTGTTTCAAGACCAAGGCCCAGGCCAGGAACACCTCACCATACCCTGATGGTTGAGACCACCACCATTGGAGAAGCAGAGATGCTGGTACTTACAATGGAGTTGTTGAGCTCAGAGTCCCATACAGATCCTTTTTCACACTGAGTATGATTGCCACCATGATGGCTGGGATTCCTAGAGTGGGGAAGCAAGCCAAAGGCATCCCATTAGGAAGCAGGGGAGAGTTCCTATCAATGATTGTGAGTCCTGGTACACTAAGACACTGTTTAAATGAGCCACAGATGTGTGGGCATCAAAATACCATTGTTTGCAAAATGTTTGTGAATTCTTCCAAGTTAAACATTTCTAGGAGTTCTCCAATCTGCTAAACTAAACAGCATGCCAATGGCTCCAATACAACACCCACTGGTTATTAAAAATAGCACAAGTGCCAAAAATCAACTTGGCAATGAAAGTATCTCGTTCATGGGAATGCAAGTTCGCATCAAGCATTTCTGCTCAGATGATCAGCTGCCAATTTGTCTCCCTTACAATACTGCCCATTAGTTCCTGGTATCTTTTTGTCTAGGTCACCTTGAAGGAAGGGCATAGGCAATCAGCTGCAGCCTTCAGTGCTTTTCTGACAGGGGAGCTGCTTGCACACTCGTTACTAGTTTGACATTTTGACTAGATCGACCAGTTAACGACCAGTCAATTTAGCCTGAGTATAATAAAGCAATCAGTTCAGTCAAAGTGGTCAAACGTGATGTGAGTATAGACATGGGGCTTAAAAAATCCAATTACATGTACATTTGCAAAACTTAAATGATTTCTCTCTTTCTCACAATGTATTTCTCCTAAACTAGGAGCATTATACTGGCACACATTTTAGGGGTCTTGTAAGAATACTTTCCAAAACTGTTTCAAAGCCCAGAGTGTCAAGCATCTTGAGAAATCCTCCACTTCCACTGTCCTGTCCTGTGATGAACAGGACAGTCCCTTCTGGTCTGTATGTGGCTCACCTAGCACAGGGCCCAGCATTATGTCGATTGGAAAAATAACACCCTGAAAAAATCCCACCCTGAAGGGAGGGATTGGAGGGAGCCCTCTCATTTAAGAAAGTTGTGGGACAGTCTCCAGTCTGTGATTATACTTTGCTAATTGAGACAAAAAAATGTGTCTTCTGGTTATTATAGGGCTTCCCCTGTGGCCCAGGTGGTAAAGAATCTGCCTGCAATGAGGGAGACCTGGGTTCGATCCCTGGGTTGGGAAGATCCCCTGGAGAAGGGAAAGGCTACCTACTCCAGTATTCTGGCCTGGAGAATTCCATGGACTGCATAGTCCATGAGGTCACAAAGAGTTGGACACGACTGAATGACTTTCATTTCACTTCACTGCTTATTAGAAAATGTGGACAACTAAATCTACTTCCTTGGACAGGGATTTAAATAAAGGAATAACCTTTGAAACAGGCTGCTTTGGCATTAGGAAGACAGAAGTTCAAACATAAACAGAGGCTAATATTTGTTTTCCTTATGGTTGACTGCATTTGTCTAATATTTAAATGCTCTGAGACTCCTTGTAGCGGGCTAGCTCTGCAGTGGTTCCCTGGCCAACGCTATAGGGATCCAGAGGCCAAACAGACAAAGGCCTAAACCATGGCTGATCCGAATTATGGTGGAATGCCTTGTGACCCCTGACGAATACGAGAAGACAGGGCAGTCCTGTGAGGAGGCACTCTGAGGCCGTCTATTACTTGCCTCCTCACACCCTCTGGAAGGCTGTCATGATGCAGTTTCTCATCGCCTCCCCCGGTGTGGGGCTTTGCACCCTGCCCCCTCAGAACAGAGTTGCACAATAAAAGTACCAAGCCTTAGCCTTGCCTATCTCCCCCTGCATCCCAGCAAGTGTGTGTGGGATGTGCAGATAAAACAGATGAGAAGCCAGCCCTAGGGAATACCAACATGGAAGGAGCAGGCAAAGGAAGAAGGGTCAGGAGAGAAAGCTGAGAACGAGTGATGCCCGGGGATTGAGTGCTATTTCCAGCCCCTGCACGCTTAGCTACATGTGTGTTATCCACCTTCTGGATTATTCATGAAACCTCTTCCACAACATTTTTCAGTCTTTCAGTTGACTCGAGGTGAGGGTTGCCAGGCATAAAGGGGAGTATTGACTATTTTTGTCTTTGTACATCTGACGGTTCCAACGTATACTAGAACCATGTTTTAGATTGTGCTTTGTTTAAAATTAGCCTGCCTCCATTCACCACATTGACATGGGTAATAGCACTAACTGTGTATCCAAAGAAAGCACATACTACATTAATGAACTCCCTCAAAGGATGAGTAGCTAATTGGGAAGCTATTGTCTTCACAAAGGCAGTGGAAGGTAAAATCTATTTTTCCAGGTATCCTAAGCATCCCACTTCACACACAGCTCCTATTTTGTTGTTGTTCAGTCGCTCAGTCATGTCCGATTCTTTGCAACCCCATGGACTGCAGCACGCCAGGCTTCCCTGTCCTTCACCATCTCCTGGAGCTTGCTCAAACTCATGTCCACTGAGTCAGTGATGTCATTCAACCACCCCATCCTCTGTCATCCCCTTCTCCTCCTGCCTTTGATCTTTCCCAGCATCAGGGTCTTTTTCAGCGAATCAGTTCTTCACATCAGGTGGCCAAAGTATTGGAGTTTCAGCTTCAGCATCAGTCCCTCCAATGAATATTCAGGACTGATTTCCTTTAGGATGGATTGGTTGGATTCCCTTGCAGTCCACGGGACTCTCAAGAGTCCTCTCCAACACCACAGTTCAAAAGCATTAATTCTTCAGTGTTCAGCTTTCTTTATGACCCAACTCTCACATCCATACATGACTACTGGAAAAACCACAGCTTTGACTCTACGGACCTTTGTCGGCAAAGTAATGACTCTGCTTTTCAATATGCTGTTGAAGTTGGTCATAACTTTTCTTCCAAGGAGCAAGCAACTTTTAATTTCATGGCTGCAATCACCATCTGCAGTGATTTGGGAGCCCAAGAAAATAAAGTCTGTCACTGTTTCCATTGTTTCCCCATCTATTTGCTATGAAGTGATGGGACCAGATACCATGATCTTAATTTTCTGGATGTTGAGTTTTAAGCCAGCTTTTCACTCTCCTCTTTCACCTTCATCAAGAGGTTCTTTAATCCTGTTTGCTTTCTGCCATAAGGGTGGTGTCATGTGCATATCTGAGGTTATGGCTATTTTCCCCAGCAATCTTTTATTTTTAAATCATAAACCACTGTAGTTTATTTATTGTACTGCTTTTTAACAGTCTATCCCACTATATTCAGTCATGCTTCTGCTATAGAAGCATACAATTTGCAAATCTATGGAAGCATATAAGAGGCAATAAGTAAGCAAAGAAAATCTCACTTGCTTAAAAAGAATGGAGTCTCTAGATTAAAGTGATCAGCAATGAAGAGGTAAACAATTAGAAAATCATAACATTAAGTATATTCTTGCTGAATTACTGAAGTCCAAATGTTACCAAAAAAGCAAAGAACCTCATAAATTCCCAGCAGAACATATAAAACAGGACAAAAAGTTAAAAAAAATTAACCACCCAGGAAAATAATAATATTCATGTTAATAGATGCAGTCCTCCCATAAACTTTGTAAGATAGAAATAAGCAAAAATAACTCTATTATAATATGACAAATATTATTGACTGTAATCAACAAAAAGTATCACTTTAAATAACAAAACTTAAAAATCACTTCAATTAATATCAGGAAGCTTATAGTGATAACTATCAAAGCTATTATTTAACACTGGAGTTTTGAGCAATAAGAAAAGAAAACTACTACACAACATTTTTATACTAACATGATTTTAAGCCTAGGTAATCTAAGATATTCCTATCAACTACTAGAATTAATTAAAAGATTTATGAAATTAACATACGTAAGACAGAGGTACCAAAAATAAACAGTTCTCTCTTGTAGAAAAAAGAATCTAGAAATTAAAATATATACATCTGTGTTTTCCTCCTTTTCCAATACAGTGTTGAAAAACTCTAATGTATTAAATCTACTTACTAAACAATTCAATGCTACAATTGATATCTTTGGAACTAATTATGTCTCTTTACAAAAATCTAAGATATTAGATATTGAATAAAAGATATTAATCTGTAAAGCAATTATCTTTCAATTAAAAAATAATTTTTTTTAAAAAAGATAATAAAACACCATAGATCTCTGAATGCCAATATAAGCTCTGCATTTCTAAGGAAGTATAATTTCTACAGGCAGTCTTGATTCCAACTTGTGCTTCACCCAGCTCAGCATTTTGCATGATGTACTCTGCATATAAGTTAAATAAGCAAGATGACAATATACAGCCTTGACGTACTCCTTTCCCAATTTGGAACCAGTCCGTTGTTCCATGTCCAGTTCTAACTGTTGCTTCTTGACCTGTATACAGATTTCTCAGGAGGTGAGTAAGGTGGTCTGGTATTCCCATCTCTTGAAGAATTTTCCACAGTTTGTTGTGATCCATGCAGTCAAAGGCTTTGGCATAGTCAACGAAGCAGATGTAGATGTTTTTTTCTGGAACTCTCTTGCTTTTTCTATGATCCAACAGATGTTGGCAATTTGATCTCTGGTTCCTCTGCCTTTTCTAAATCTAGCTTGAACATCTGGAAGTTCTCGGTTCACATATTGTTGTTGAAGCCTGGCTTGGAGAATTTTGAGCATTATTTTGCTCGCGTGTGAGGTGAGTGCAATTGTGTGGTAGTTTGAACCTTATTTGGCATTGCCTTTCTTTGGGACTGGAATGAAAACTGACCTTTTCCAGTCCTGTGGCTACACCTGAGTTTTCCAGATTTGCTGGCATATTGAGTGCAGTACTTTCATAGCATCATCTTTTAGGATTTGAAATAGCTCCACTGGAATTCCATCACCTCCACTAGCTTTATTCGTAGTGATGCTTCCTAAGGCCCACTTGACTTTGCATTCCAGGATGTCTGGCTCTGTGTGAGTGATCATACCATTGTGGTGATCTGAGTCATTAAGATCTTTCCTGTATAGTTCTTCTGTGTATTCTTGCCACCTCTTCTTAATATCTTCTGCTTCTGTTAGGTCCATATTGTAACTGTCCTTTATTTTGCCCATCTTTGCATGAAATGTACCCTTGGCATCTCTAATTTTCTTGAAGAGAGATCTAGTCTTTCCCATTCTATTGTTTTCCTCTATTTCTTTGCATTGGTCACTTAGGAAGGCTTTCTTATCTCTCCTTGCTATTCTTTGGAACTCTGCATTCAGAGGGGTATATCTTCCCTTTTCTCTTTTGCCTTTCGCTTCTCCTCTTTTCTCAGCTATTTGTGGGCCTCCTCAGATAGTCGTTTTGCCTTTTTGCACTAGCCATTTTGCCCTTTTGCCTTTTTCCACCTCCTATGGATCCAACACATTTTCTGAATGATAAGTCTGATTTGAATAGGCAAGGGATGGGGAAGAGCTGAGCTGTTCATGTCAGTTAGAATTACACACACACACACAAAAAAAAAAAGAATTACAGTAAAGAACCAATGAGAACTATTCACGCTAATTCCTTCCTGGCTTCTTCTATAGGGTGGCAGAATGGTGACGGTTATAAGACGTGGTGTGAAACGGAGTATGTCTGAACCAGCACCCTGTCACATCTTTCAGGTCTTTTCCCTGGCCTTAAATAATCTGACTACATCCTAGAGGTCAAAGTCCAAACTGTGGAGATAGACTCCCTGGTTCAAAACCCAATTCTGCCACTTATTAGTTGTGCAAATTCTGGCAAATTACATAATCTCTTTGTGCCTCAGCATCCTCATCTGTTAAGTGGGAATAATGATGAAACCTTTCCCATAGGGATATTGTGAAGATTAAATGTTGTTGCTGTTGTTTAGTTGCTCAGTCATGTCCGAATCTTTGCAACCTCATGGACTGTAGACTGCCAGGCTTCACTGTCCATGGGATTTTCCAGGCAAGAATACTGGAGTGGGTTGCCATTTCCTTCTCCAGGGGACCTTCCCCAACCAGGGGTCAAACCCACATCTCCTGCATTGGCAGGTGGATTCTTTGCCACTGAGCCACCAAGGAAGCCCGGAAGATTCAAGCTTAGATTAAATGAGACGCTTTGAACCAGGTTGGGCACATGGAACACTACCTCAGTGTTGGCTATTGTATCCATGTGTATTTGTTGGGATTGTAACTTGAGAAAGAGAAGGATAAAAGCTGACAGGTTCACTACTATAGGTCTAGCATTTAGCACAGTGCAGCAGCAGGTGCTCAGTAAATATGTGTGAACCAGTGTCTTGCCAAAAAGGTCAAAAGCTTGATTTACAGAGCAACAGACAGAAAAAGAAATGCCCACCCAAAAACCAGTGAGGCAATGCTTAATTCCTTACCTATGATAATATCAGAAGTTTGGTCTCAAATACTGTATAATAGAATTACACAGACACAGGCTTGAAACAAACATCGAGGACAATGGCAGATATACTTATCCTAACCAACCAGACAAAATTTAAGGATATAATTGGGAATGTACTTGTTGAAGACATGCGGACTGCCTCCAGGCCCATCCAAGTCAAAGACACGAGCAGGAAGTAATGAAGTGCTACAGCAGCTGTGATACAAAGGCCCGCTTTCTGAAATGATAATGACCAGGAATTGACTAGAAATACGAGGTTTAGCATCAGTAGTGCTGTGTACAAGTTGTTCAGGATTTTGGAAGGATGATCTTTTCGAAGTTTGCTAAAGGAGAAGGCGCAATGTGAGGCAGGGTCTCTGCTTTTGATCAAGCATGGCCATGCTTTCTATATATAATAATTAAAAGAATAAAAGGACTGCCTATTAAAATTTAATTATTCATATTACCTTATATGTACTAAATTTTTGAGTCCCCCACCATCTTTCCAGGTAGAATCAAAATATTTCAAATAAGGTGACCTTTAGTAATAAGAATAATAATAGCTTCTCTCAGCTAAGCAGTCCCTTTTTTTTGAAGAAAAGGAAGGAAAGACTTCCTTGGATACTACAATTCCACCATCACTCCTTCAAGTGACTCAAGACTAAATCTACACATGACCAAGTAGCAGGATGACTATAGGAACCATTTCACATAGTTACTTGGGTATTTCAAAGATCCAGACACTTGGCTTCATGGAATTTTTCAAGAATTTTCTATTTTCACTAGAAAAGAATTTTCCGGTCTTTTGCCTATTTTTAATGTATTGTCTTTCTTTTGCTTTTGCTTTGTAGTTTTTAATATATTCTGCATACAAGTCCTTTGTCAGATATATGTATAGTGAATATCTTCTCTTAATCTGTGGCTTGCATTTTCACTATTTTCATGGTATCTTTTGATGAAAAAAACTCTTAATTTTAATGAAGTTCAATTGATTAACTTTTTCTTTAATACTTAATGTTTTTGTACCCTGTTGGAGAAATCTTTCCTATTTCAAACCTATTGTTGTTTTAAAAATTCAGTTACAATCTTTTTTTTCAGAGGAGCCTTGATTTTTTTTAACCTGGACACTTCATAATCTAAAGGATCTGACCTATGCCTATTGTGATGAATAAGAACATTTTTGTTAAATTAACATGAAATTAACAAAGTTACAATGCCAAGAGCATCCATGAAACCAAATTAAACTTAGAGTAAAACTCTACCAACTTACTGAAAAGCTAAGTATGTCACTATTGCAGATCCCGGGAAAATGGAGGAGATTCCATATCCGATGTATGTTATAATCACTAATATCCATTCATTCACTGCATCCACTGCAGATCTGGATAAATCCTAGGGAATGCATGTGTTGTATTTTATACATTTGGCTAGGCAAGTTTATGGTAAAAAGTTTTCAGTGCTCACTAATAGTAGGTTCCCAGGATGTACAGCATCTCTGCTAAAGCTCTTATAAAACAAGAGTATGTAGATGGATATACAGTAAGACTGTATATTGTTCGTTGATTATGCCTAGAGCAACTTACTGTGTATGGGGCATGGAGAGCCATCAACAGCACTGGAAGAACATTTAGTCCTTGGTTTTATTGTCATTAACATGTTCCACACTTCAAATATAACCAAACTAATAGATGTGAATTTGAGATACAAAGTGAATTATTATCTGAACTGAGCGTTCCAAAACATTGCACGGAACATCAAAAAAATGTTCCTTTCCCTTAGACCTTCAATAATTTTCATAAAATTAAGAGACAAAGTGGACCTTAGAGATCACATAAACCAGTAATTTCTTAACCTGAGGATTATAAAAGACTTGAAATGGTATGCAAATTACTCAAATATATTTGTGCATCATTCTGGGAAGAAGGTCCATACTTTTCATCAGATGGCAGTGGAGCTTCGTGACTCCTGAAAGTTGAACAAATGCTGGTCCACGCTGGTAGTTCTTAACTGGCCACAGTTTTACCCCTCCCCTGGCACAGGTGGCAAAGTCTGGAGACATTTTTGGTCGTCACTCCTGAAGAAGCTGCTACCGGCATCTAGTGGGTAGAGAACAGGCATGCTGCTAAACACTCTTGAATGCACAAAACAGCACCCACGACAAAGAAATATTTGACCCAAAATAGCAAGAGTGCTAAGGTTACAACATCCTCATCTACTCCAGTCTTTCACATTCCAGAAGACAAATTTAAGATCCAAACAAGTGAAATAACCTGACCAAGATCACATAGATAGCTAGTAACAGAGCTAGACTGTGAACATGGTCTTTTGACTCATGCTGTAATGTTCTAACCAATTTGCAGGAGGGTAAACAAAATTCTTACAGTTCAGTAAGTATCAGTGGGTTACCTCTTATTTGTTGAGTAGACATCGTTGAAAAAAAAAGAAAGAAAAAGAAAACTATAAAACAGATTCTCAGCCCTCAGGGAGTTTACCATTAGTAGAAGAAACAACTCATACACAACACATTCATATACCAGTATATAATATATACAGTACAGTAACTTAGGAGAACTAAGAAATAAGAACTAAGAAAGTATTCAAGGGTGGGTAAAGAAGAAGGAAATGCATTTGAGAGCCAGTTTGAAGGAAAACTCATCAAGTCCTGATGTTAGGGAGGACCATAGGAAATGAAGGAGAGATGGATTAACAATTACTCCAAGGCTCAAAGCCTGGATGTGCAAGTTGATTAGAAAACTCTTGTTTGGTTAACTATCACAAGTATTAAAAATAAATATTTCTTTCTTACACTGCAATGTGGAAATAACTGTTAAAATTTAATATTCTAAGTGGAAGCAGTTCTACTTCCATCAATTTACTCTATAGAAATACACCAGTATTAGAAGACAAATAAATAAAAATGTGTACTATAGCATTGTTCATAATGGAGAAAAACAGTAACAACTCAAATGCTTACTGTAGCAGATTGGTTAAATTCCACTGTGTTAAATTCACACAGTGGAATACCATAAAAATGTTTTTAAAAATTTAAGTAGATAGACATATATTTGTTGAAAGGTGTCCAATATATGTTGTTAAGTGAAAACCAAGTGGTAAAACAGTATGTATAATTTGATCCCATTTTTTTCCCATATATAGGAAAAGAATCTGAAAGAACATACATAAAGGTGTTAAAGATGGTGATTTCTTTGGAGGGGGATTATAGGGACCTTTTCTGTAAACTTTGAATTTTGAGAAATCGGCATTAATTTTACAAGGAAAAAAATAAACATTCATTTCAATTTGCTCCACTTTGAATGAACAAGGTGGGGAGCTTTTTTTCCACTTGCATGCCATTTTTCCATAACTTAGTTCATACATATATTCCTAGTCTGTAATCTAATAAAAGTTGTCAAAACTCTATTTTAAAGGAGTGATTATGAGGCAACCAGGCTTCCCTGGTGTCTCTGACGGTAAGGAATCTGCCTGCAATGCAGGAGACCTGGGTTTGATCCCTGGTTCGGGAAGACCCCCTGGAGAAGAGAATGGCTATCCACTCTGGTATTGTTGCCTGGAGAATTCCATGGACAGAGGAGCGTGGTGGGCTACAGTCCATGGGGTCTCAAAGAATTGGACATGACTGAGCGACTAACACTTCACACATTGAGACAACTCACCATTAAGACTCCGAAATGGGTAAGGTGATCACTGACAGACTGTGTAATTTACATTTGTTTCCTTTACGTTACAGCCTGATGAATTCCATTCACCTTGCCCATCTGCAAGTGACAGAAGGAATTTCAAAGCAATTTTGCTTTTCTCAGAAATGTTTAACTTTTCATTATATGTACCTTTCCAACGTGTGCTATAATTATTATTGTTTGTTAAGACAGCAGGATAGCAGTATAATTGAACACTGAAATTAAATTAATCCTAATAGGCAGAACTGACTTGTGGAGGACTTCATAAATGGCATAACTTCTTTGGTTCTCACTTTTCCTGTTTTTCTACAGATTAGGACAGACTTTAATGATGAAAAACAGTCCCGCCACCATGCTGGAGTGATAGAGTAAGGACTGTTTTTCTCAAGTAGCACAAAGAGGAAACAGATCTAGAACTTTTTGAAGGGTCTGAGCTATGGAATATAGGCTGACACGTGGGGTTCCTCAATGGGACTGGAATAAACACTTGAAACAACCAGCTCAACCTAGAATTCAAATGGTCTCAAGTGTTTTGCATTCAAGTCAGGTTATGGTCTAGAACTCCTTAGAGCCAATTAAAGCCTCTGGTCTACTTGACACCTGCCTAGTTTCTCACTCTTGAGCTCATTCAGGGTTCTAGAACTAACCCACATACCTTGAGAACCTGTAGATCTTGGGTACTAGATGACATTTAGAGTTAAACCTCTAGAGTAGTACTAGACCAGAGGGGTTCTCCTAGGACAGGCAGCTAAGTGTGGTTAAAATTTGTCCATCCGGGGTAATGCTAAGAGATTCCAGAAGTTCTAGATCCATGGACAGAGGGTGGCGGCAAAAGATGACCTGGAAGGAGCCCATTACTGTATATTAATGAATACACAGATCAACTTATTGGGGCTTTGGGGGACAAAACTTATCATTTTACAGGAATCTTACCCTGAATGACTTGAAGGAGACCAGGAAAGGACAGTGCTCTCTTTGTTGTAAGAAAGCAGTAGTATTTCCTTTCCCCACCCCAGGATTCCAAGGATACTAAAAAAGGAAACATCCCAGACAGAGCTTCTACAGGTGGAAGGACTGCTCCCAGAGACACTCCTGGCATTCCAGGAGCAATTGCTTCTGTGTGGGAATTTTCTGAGATTGGGCTACATCCCTACAGATTCCAATGGCAATGGTCAAGCTTAAGAGGAACCCATTCAGCAATCCCTTTCCTTCACCCTTTCTCTCTCTTTTTTAAAATTTTTATCAGAGTGTAGTTGATTCACAATGTATTAGTTTCAGATGTGCAGCAAAGTGAATCAGACATACATATACATATATCCACTCTTTTTTAGATTCTTTTCCCATATAGGCCATTACAGAGTATTGAGAAGAGTTCCCTGCGCTATACAGTAGGTCCTTATTAGTTAACTATTTTATATATAGTAGTGTGTATATGCCAATCCCAAACTCCCAATGTATCCACCTCACCCCCTGCTAACCATAAGTTTGTTTTCTACATCTGGGACTCTATTTCTGTTTTGTAAGGTAAGTTCATTTATAGCCTTTTTTTAGATTTCACATATGAGTGATATCATGTGATATTCCTTTCTCTGTCTGACTTACTTCACACCTTTAGAGCTTCTCTAACTTCATCTATGTTGCTGCAAATGGCATTATTTCCACGACTCCTTCTCTTATGGCCCTCAAAGACTCATACTCAATCAAGTAGGAAGGGTCCATAGAAACCAACCAGAATGTCTTTTTTTTTTCTTGCTCATAAAACATGTCCTTTATTATTATGTTCCAAGCCCATTTGTTTATACTGTCAAAGCATATGTTGTTTTTTTTTTTCCATTTATTTTTATTAGCTGGAGGCTAATTACTTTACATCATTGCAGTGGTTTTTGTCATACATTGAAATGAATTAGCCATGGATTTACATGTATTCCCCATCCCGGTCCCCCCTCCCACCTCCCTCTCCACCCGATCCCTCTGGTTCTTCCCAGTGCACCAGGCCCGAGCACTTGTCTCATGCACCCAACCTGGGCTGGTGATCTGTTTCACCCTAGATAATATACATGTTTCGATGCTGTTCTCTTGAAACATCCCACCCTCGCCTTCTCCCAGAGTCCACAAGTCTGTTCTATACATCGGAGTCTCTTTTTCTGTTTTGCATATAGGGTTATCGTTACCATCTTTCTAAATTCCATATATATGTGTTAGTATACTGTAATGGTCTTTATCTTTCTGGCTTACTTCACTCTGTATAATGGGCTCCCGTTTCATCCATCTCATTAGAACTGATTCAAATGAATTCTTTTTAATGGCTGAGTAATATTCCATGGTGTATATGTACCACAGCTTCCTCATCCATTCGTCTGCTGATGGGCATCTAGGTTGCTTCCATGTCCTGGCTATTATAAACAGTGCTGTGATGAACATTGGGGTGCACGTGTCTCTTTCAGATCTGGTTTCCTCGGTGTGTATGCCCAGAAGTGGGATTGCTGGGTCATATGGCAGTTCTATTTCCAGCTTTTTAAGAAATCTCCACACTGTTTTCCATAGTGGCTGTACTAATTTGCATTCCCACCAACAGTGTAAGAGGGTTCCCTTTTCTCCACACCCTCTCCAGCATTTATTGCTTGTAGACTTTTGGATAGCAGCCATCCTGACTGGCATGTAATGGTACCTCATTGTGGTTTTGATTTGCATTTCTCTGATAATGAGTGATGTTGAGCATCTTTTCATGTGTTTTTGTGCCATCTGTATGTCTTCCTTGGAGAAATGTCTGTTTAGTTCTTTGGCCCATTTTTTGATTGGGTCATTTATTTTTCTGGAGTTGAGCTGGAGGAGTTGCTTGTATATTTTTGAGATTAATCCTTTGTCTGTTGCTTCGTTTGCTATTATTTTCTCCCAATCTGACAGCCGTCTTTTCACCTTGCTTATAGTTTCCTTTGTTGTGCAAAAGCTTTTAAGTTTCATTAGGTCCATTTGTTTTTGTTTCTAAAATTCTGTGATGTGGGTCATAGAGGATCCTGCTGTGATTTATGTCGGAGAGTGTTTTGCCTATGTTCTCCTCTAGGAGTTTTATAGTTTCTGGTCTTACATTTAGATCTTTAATCCATTTTGAGTTTATTTTTGTGTATGGTGTTAGAAAGTGTTCTAGTTTCATTCTTTTACAGGTGGTTGACCAGTTTTCCCAGCACCACTTGTTAAAGAGGTTGTCTTTTTTCCATTGTATATCCTTGCCTCCTTTGTCAAAGATAAGGTGACCATAGGTTCGTGGATTTATCTCTGGGCTTTCTATTCTGTTCCATTGATCTATATTTCTGTCTTTGTGCCAGTACCATACTGTCTTGATGACTGTGGCTTTGTAGTATAGTCTGAAGTCAGGCAGGTTGATTCCTCCAGTTCCATTCTTCTTTCTCAAGGTTACTTTGGCTATTCGAGGTTTTTTGTATTTCCATACAAATTGTGAAATTATTTGTTCCAGTTCTGTGAAAAATACCGTTGGTAGTTTGATAGGGATTGCATTGAATCTATAGATTGCTTTGGGTAGTATAGCCATTTTGACAATATTGATTCTTCCAATCCATGAACATGGTATATTTCTCCATCTGCTTGTGTCCTCTTTGATTTCTTTCATCAGTGTTTTATAGTTTTCTATGTATAGGTCTTTTGTTTCTTTAGGTAGATATACTCCTAAGTATTTTATTCTTTTTGTTGCAATGGTGAATGGTATTGTTTCCTTAATTTCTCTTTCTGTTTTCTCAGTGTTAGTGTATAGGAATGTGAGAGATTTCTGTGCATTAATTTTATATCCTGCAACTTTACTGTATTAGTTGATTAGCTCTAGTAATTTTCTGGTAGAGTCTTTAGGGTTTTCTATGTAGAGGATCATGTCATCTGCAAACAGAGAGAGTTTCACTTCTTCTTTTCCTATCTGGATTCCTTTTACTTCTTTTTCTGCCCTGATTGCTGTGGCCAACACTTCCAAAACTATGTTGAATAGTAGTGGTGAGAGTGGGCACCCTTGTCTTGTTCCTGATTTCAGGGGAAATGCTTTCAATTTTTCACCATTGAGGGTGATGCTTGCTGTGGGTTTGTCATATATAGCTTTTATTATGTTGAGGTATGTTCCTTCTATTCCTGCTCTCTGGAGAGTTTTAATCATAAATGGATGTTGAATTTTGTCAAAGGCTTTTTCTGCATCTATTGAGATAATCATATGGTTTTTATCTTTCAATTTGTTAATGTGGTGTATTACACTGATTGATTTGTGGATATTAAAGAATCCTTGCATTCCTGGGATAAAGCCCACTTGGTCATGGTGTATGATTTTTTTAATATGTTGTTGGATTCTGTTTGCTAGAATTTTGTTAAGGATTTTTGCATCTATGTTCATCAGTGATATTGGCCTGTAGTTTTCTTTTTCTGTGGCATCTTTGTCTGGTTTTGGAATTAGGGTGATGGTGGCCTCATAGAATGAGTTTGGAAATTTACCTTCTTCTGCAATTTTCTGGAAGAGTTTGAGTAAGATAGGTGTTAGCTCTTCTCTAAATTTTTGGTAGAATTCAGCTGTGAAGCCATCTGGTCCTGGGTTTTTGTTTGCTGGAAGATTTCTGATTACAGTTTCGATTTCCTTGCTTGTGATGGGTTTGTTAAGATCTTCTATTTCTTCCTGGTTCAGTTTTGGAAAGTTATACTTCTCTAAGAACTTGTCCATTTCTTCCAAGTTGTCCACTTTATTGGCATAGAGCTGCTGGTAGTAGTATCTTATGATCCTTTGTATTTCAGTGTTGTCTGTTGTGATCTCTCCATTTTCGTTTCTAATTTTGTTAATTTGGTTCTTTTCCCTTTGTTTCTTAATGAGTCTTGCTAATGGTTTGTCAATTTTATTTTCTCAAAAAAACCAGCTTTTAGCTTTGTTGATTTTTGCTATGGTCTCTTTTATTTCTTTTGCATTTATTTCTGCCCTAATTTTTAAGATTTCTTTCCTTCTACTAACCCTGGGGTTCTTTATTTCTTCCTTCTCTAGTTGCTTTAGGTGTAGAGTTAGGTTATTTATTTGACTTTTTTCTTGTTTCTTGAGGTAGGCCTGTAATGCTATGAATCTTCCCCTTAGCACTGCTTTTACAGTGTCCCATAGGTTTTGGGTTGTTGTGTTTTCATTTTCATTCATTTCTATGCATATTTTGATTTCTTTTTTGATTTCTTCTATGATTTGTTGGTTATTCAGAAGTGTGTTGTTTAGCCTCCATATGTTTGAATTTTTAATAATTTTTTTCCTGTAATTGAGATCTAATCTTACTGCACTGTGGTCAGAAAAGATGACTGGAATGATTTCAGTTTTTTTGAATTTACCAAGACTAGATTTATGGCCCAGGATGTGATCTATTCTGGAGAAGGTTCCGTGTGCACTTGAGAAAAAGGTGAAGTTGATTGTTTTGGGGTGAAACGTCCTATAGATGTCAATTAGGTCTAGCTGGTCCATTGTGTCCTTTAAAGTTTGTGTTTCCTTGTTCATTTTCTGTTTAGTTGATCTATTGATCTATCCATAGTTGTGAGTGGGGTATTAAAGTCTCCTACTATTATTGTGTTACTATTAATTTCCTCTTTCATACTCGTTAGCGTTTGCCTTACATATTGTGGTGCTCCTATGTTGGGTGCATATATATTTATAATTGTTATATCTTCTTCTTGGATTGATCCTTTGATCATTGTGTAGTGTCCATCTTTGTCTCTTTTCACAGCCTTTATTTGAAAGTCTATTTTATCCGATATGAGTATTGCGACTCCTGCTTTCTTTTGGTCTCCGTTTGTGTGGAATATTTTTTTCCAGCCCTTCACTTTTAGTCTGTATGTGTCCCTTGTTTTGAGGTGGGACTCTTGTAGACAGCATATATAGGGGTCTTGCTTTTGTATACATTCAGCCAGCCTTTGTCTTTTGGTTGGGGCATTCAACCCATTTACATTTAAGGTAATTATTGATAAGTATGGTCCGGTTGCCATTTATTTTGTTGTTTGGGGTTCACGTTTATACCACCTTTCTGTGTTTCCTGTCTAGAGAAGATCCTTTAGCATTTGTTGAAGAGCTGGTTTGGTGGTGCTGAATTCTCTCAGCTTTTGCTTGTCTGTAAAGCTTTTGAGTTCTCCTTCATATCTGAATGAGATCCTTGCTGGGTAGAGTAATCTAGGTTGTAGGTTATTCTCTTTCATTACTTTAAGTATGTCCTGCCATTCCCTTCTGGCCTGAAGGGAGAAACCAACCAGAATGTCTTATCCCCTCCATGAAAAGATAAAAAGATTGAAGCACCTAGAGAGTAAACGGACCACTCAAGGTCACACAGTCAATGTAGGAGAGAAGAGGGAAAAACAGAGGAGATAGTAGACCTGGAAGATCTCATGGGAAAGCTCAGATAAAGAGCCAGATCTTCATTCTTCAGCTTTCTTCAAACAGCTCAAGGCTGCTCTGTACTGCTGTTTTCCAACTTTCTTTCTTCCAGTTTGGTGAGTTATGTGCTTTCTTTCTAATCTCCTAAATAAGTCTTTTTTCAAAAAGAAAGTTTTAAAAATGAAACTCCCAAGCCTTAATTAGATATGAAGCACATTCATATCTTGGTCATTTGGAGTTCCCTGTAGGGTCTGTTAAGACAGTAGCTTCAGTACAGCTTGCTCCCACATAACTCCCAAATAGCAACATGGTCAAGGACAAAGTCTCATTGAGAGCAAAAGCCAAAGTTTGCTATGAAAATTACTTACTGTTATTCCCAAAGTCCCAAAAGGCACAGCGAACTTGATCATAATTCTAGAAAAAAGAAAAATCAGAGGCAAATAGCTTTCCTTGTGACTGTCACCAAATAATGACAACTACACACAAGTCTTTTCTTCTTGATGTTTTCTCAAAGAGTAGACACACACACACACCATTTGTAAGCTGGTTTTAAAATAAACTCCAAGTATCTTGGGGTTTACAAGTGAGTAACAAAACAATATGTTACTGCTGCATAGTGATCTGGTATGTATCCTTTAATATCTTTGGTAAAGTGAGAATTTGACATGTCTTCCTGGTACAAGGCCCAGGAGGAGAATTGGAGTAGCTCTGATGTGTGGTAGATGTTTCTTGTGAAATTCTGGAATTTGGGGCTCATAGCTGAGATCGAGCCTTATGAATACAATATTCAGATGCCTCAGGCTTCCTTGGTGACTCAGGGGTAAAGAATATGCCTGCCAGTGTGACACGGGTTTGATCCCTGATCCAGGAAGATTCCACATGCTGTGGAGCAACTAAGCCAATGAGCCACAACTACTGAGCCTATGCTCTAGAGCCAAAACTACTATGCCCACGTGGACCCTGTGCTCCACAACAGAAGCCACGGCAATGAGAAGCCCAAGCACTGCAACTCCATAGTGGCCCCCGCTCACCACAACTAAAGAAAAGCCCACACGGCAACAAAGACCCAGAAGAGCCAAAAATAAAATAAATAAATTTAAAAATAAAAAAAAGATCGATCCGCCTCCTCATCAGGTCTAGTGAGCATTCCTGAAGCCTCACCAGCTCTTGCAATCTCCAAGGAGCTGGAGGGCAATTAGAAATTGGTTATGGGGAATGCCTAGAGAGCTATGGCCCCAGCCAGAATTAAGAGATCTTACCTGTTAAATATATTTCATTTGGTATCTTTTTTAAAGAATTCCTACTCCCACTCTTCCTTTTTTCCTTCTAGAATTAAGACCTGTGAAAAATATGCTGTACCATATGGTCTTTTAGATTGGCAATGAAGGAAGCTATTAAGACTCCACACTGGACATAGATTAACACCAAAGAATGGAGTAGTAGTTTATTCTTATATCACAGCTAAATTTGAGCATTTAGTAATATATACCTTATGTTATGCCATATGACTATGGTTTTAATTCTTTGGTGATAATTAATACATATTTTAATGCTCTTCATGGAAATTCAAAGGATAAAAATGTTTCACTATGTTGAATTAACTTGTTTGCCTTTCTCAAAAATAAGTGGAATTAAATGTCATTTAGAGTGATGGGAAAACCAAAAGATCTTCTTGCCCCCAGTCACGCCCCTGCTGATCTGCCACAGTGCTGGAAGCCTGTTGATACGTATCCCTTTGGACTAACGCATTGTTTCTAAAGTCCCCAATTACAATACACCTCTGCTACCTGGAAGGAAACAATCTTCGTTAAATCTTGGAATCACATCTGTTAAGTAGGCAATTATTTTTAACAGGAGAATCGGGGAGGGGTTCTGAGGCCTTTTAATTTTGAGATGAAAATTGATATGTTACCCGGTTTCCTTGAACATGCTGCAGAGTAATAACCACTGGGTCTGCCAAGTTTTGAATGGATATATCAGAAATGCTGGCACTCACGACATATGTGGTTAATGCTTTCGTGATGTTTTTGGTCTCTGCAGAAGAAACATACAAAGAAGAGGAGTTCAAGTCCTACCTTTCTGATTTCTGGCATGTTAATCATCAATCTAGAATTCTGAAGTACTGCACGGCATTAGGTACAGACATGTGGAAAATAAAATCAAAAGCTAAGAGGGAAGTTTCAGAGATAATTTAGCTCATCTCCTGTCTTCACATCAGGTCTAAATTATACCCAGCTGGACCAATTTCCAGCCATATACCCAAATATCTATCCAATGAGCATTGGTTTTGCACCTGCAACAAAGTTCAGCTATTGCCTACTAGTGAATTCCAGACTCTGAAATGACGCTGCTGCTGCTGCTGCTAAGTCGCTTCAGTCATGTCCGACTCTGTGCGACCCCATAGACGGCAGCCCGCCAGGCTCCCCTGTCCCTGGGATTCTCCAGGCAAGAACACTGGAGTGGGTTGACATGATGCAGTTTATCACAATTCTAACCCTCACCCATCCTTACTTTCTTTGAGAAAGCCTCTCCTTATAAGGAACATCAACTCATCATGAGTTAGTTACAACCTCTTCCTTTTGCATCCTCATTGGCAATGGAAGCTGGTTGATCATCATCCAGCTTGGAACAGTGTCCTCCCAGGACACCGTGACCTCTTGAGCATAGGCACTGTGTGTCCTGGTGTCCCCCACATGGCCTAGCACATAACAGGGGTTTTATCCTGTACCTACGGTGAGCCAGTTACTTTGTTAAGGGTGTTTCACATGCACTATCTTCAGTTCTCACTGGAACAATGTAGGCATTTTTCAGGTATACTGGGGCTTGGGAAGGCTCAAAATCTTGGACAAAGTCACCCAGTTGGTGAATGATAGATCAGGGATGCGTCATAAACATTGGTCTAAAGGAAATGTAGCCACTGAGATGCAGAGCTTGCTAATGCAGAGCCATTGAGATGCCGGGCCCATGAGCCACAGGCCAAGGCTCTAGGTGGCCAGGCAGCTGGGAAGGAGCTGTTTCTGGGGCTCACCTGAAGAGACGAGAGGTGGGGCGGGTACAGGACAGGATAGAGAGGAAGCAAAGCCTCTGAGGACTTGCCAAGAAAGCCTAGAAGTGGGGCGCCCTGATGATGTCCCATGAAGAACATGCTGGGCCACTTTTAGAAGATGCCAAACCCTCAAATTTCCTCAAATTTTCCAAAATCACTGCAGATGGTGACTGCAGTCATGAAATTAAAAGACACTTACTCTTTGGAAGAAAAAGCTATGACAAACCTCAACAGGGTATAAAGGTCCATATAGTCGAAGCTATGGTTTTTCCAGTAGTCATGTATGGATGTGAGAGTTGGACCATAAAGAAGGCTGAGCACCAAAGAATTGATGCTTTTGAACTGCAGTGCTGGAGAAGACTCTTGAGAGTCCCTTGGACTGCAAGGAGATCAAACCAGTCAATCCTAAAGGAAATCAACTCTGAATATTCATTGGAAGGACTGATGCTGAAACTGAAGCTTCAATACTTTGGGGACCTGATGTGAAGACCCAACTCATTAGAAAAGACCCTGGTGCTGGGAAAGATTAAGGGCAGGAGGAGAAGGGGACGACAGAGGATGAGATAGTTGGATGGCATCACCGACTTAATGGACATGAGTTTGAGCAAGCTCTGGGAGATGGTGAAGGACAGGGAAGCCTGGTGTGCTGCAATCCATGGGATTGCAAAGAGTCGGACACGACTGAGCAACTGAACAACAACAAATTTCTGAGCCCTTCAGCCACTGAGAAATGAGGAATTATGAACACAGCCTGGGGCTCCCTGAGGAAGCTACTCACTTTCTGTTCCTGACCAGCTCTGTCAACCAAAGCCAGCGTGGTGGTTCAGTGCTTCCCTTCCCAGAGGAATCCCCCTGGGCAGTTCTTATGTAGAGGAGGGTTTGCAGCAAGATCCAGAGGAAAGGGTCCTGGCCGATGGTTAAAAAAACAAGTCCTAGAGGATCCTGCTGTGATTTATGTCAGAGAGTGTTTTGCCTATGTTCTCCTCTAGGAGTTTTATAGTGTCTGGTCTTACATTTAGATCTTTAATCCATTTTGAGTTTATTTTTGTGTATGGTGTTAGAAAGTGTTCTAGTTTCATTCTTTTACAAGTGGTTGACCATTTTTCCCAGCACCACTTGTTAAAGAGGTTGTCTTTCTTAAAAAACTGGAAATAGAACTGCAATATGACCCAGCAATCCCACTTCTGGGCATACACACTGAGGAAACCAGATCTGAAAGAGACACGTGCACCCCAATGTTCATCGCAGCACTGTTTATAATAGCCAGGACATGGAAGCAACCTAGATGCCCATCAGCAGATGAATGGATAAGGAAGCCGTGGTACGTATACACCATGAAATATTACTCAGCCATTAAAAAGAATTCATTTGAATCAGTTCTAATGAGATGGATGAAACTGGAGCCCATTATACAGAGTGAAGTAAGCCAGAAAAATAAAGACCAATACAGTATACTAACACATATATATGGAATTTAGAAAGATGGTAACGATAACCCCATATGCAGGACAGAAAAAGAGACACAGATGTACAGAACAGACTTTTGGACTCTGGGAGAAGGCAAGGGTGGGATGTTCTGAGAGAACAGCATTAAAACATGTATATTATCTAGGGTGAAACAGATCACCAGCCCAGGTTGGATGCATGAGACAAGTGCTCGGGGCTGGTGCACTGGGAAGACCCAGAGGGATGGGTTGGGGAGGGAGGTGGGAGGGGGGATCGGGATGGGGAATATATGTAAATCCATGGCTGATTCGTGCCAATGTATGGCAAAAACCACTACAATATTGTAAAGTAATCAGCCTCCAACTAATAAAAATAAATGGAAAAAAAAGAAAAAAGTTCTAAAAAAAAAAAAAAAACAAGTCCTAGCCCAGGCCCCCTTGTTCCTTGAAAGTCCCTTCCCTTTCTGGGGACACTGGTAACATGAAGGAAGGTGGACCAAATACCTAACAACCCTCCCAACTTAGTCTCAGAGATGTGGTTTTCTATAGTGAGAAGGCCAAAGGAGGAGAAACACATAGTGACTTGGGACTGAATTAACCTACTTTCTGGTTATTTCCTTGGCTTACAAAGTGGCAACCATTCAGGGAAAGGAACTAAACCCTTGCTCACTCTTCTACCCTCTAGTTCTAGGCTCTGGTTGGACCTATTTCCATTTCTGAAGCTTTACAGAAGTGGTTTCCTCTGCCTGAAACACTCTTCCCTCCTTCTCCTCACCCTTTCAAATCTTCTGGCTGGTACTTGACCTCCATCTCAGCTGACACATCTCCTACAGAGGCCTTTCCTGAGCTCCCAGACAGCTGGGGTGCTGGGGCTCTGTGCTTCCAGAGCCCCTGGGCCATATTGTACTTGCCTTGGGCTTTGGCCCTCTCCCCAAGAGCCACCACTAATGGACAGGTGGAAGAGGAGGCACATGTTTTCCAAGAGTGGTGTCTTATTAACAATTTGGGGCTTCCCTGGTGGCTCAGACAGTAAATATTCTGCCTGCAATCCAGGAGACCCAGGTTCGATCCCTGGGTTGGGAAGATCCCCTGGAGAAGGAAATGGCAACCTACTCCAGTATTCTTGCCTGGAGAATTCCATGGACAGAGGAGACTGGTGGGCTACAATCCATGGGGGTCTCAAAAAGTTGGACACGACTGAATGACTAACACTTTCACTTAAGGTAATATGTTGTAATGACAGTTAAGGTTTTGATCAAAAGATGTTAGAAGAAGTAGTGTGAAAGCAGAGCTGTGAGACTTGGAACTTGGGCGGGGGAGGGTTTGTAGTTAAACTGTGCCATTTCTTGTATGTGCTTACTCCCCCAAAATGAGTGGCTCAGGTCCCAGCCTCAGGTCACCCCCTTGCATGTGACAACCCTCCCCCATACAGCACCACACAATACACATAGTAGGAATTTAATAAATATTTGCTGGTTGAATAAATAACTGGGTGAATAAACGAATAAATTGTGTCCCTTCCGCTCTCTGGGTCTCAATATCCTCATTGGTAAAATGAGGAGATGGGACACAATGAATTATAAGGATCCTTCCGGTTCTGAAATTGATGATAGGTTACTTCTAATCCTTCTTCATCTGCCACTATGACGTCTGAAGGCTAATTTTGGCAAAGATCTTTAATCTTTTTCAGTAGAAGGTGTTAGTGAATAAAAATGACTTATTAGGTGTGAAATCTATGCAAAACAGGTTTATCTTTTATTTTACAAAACAAGCACACCTCTCTGAAGAAAGGAGAGAGGCTAAGACCAAAATAATGGCATCTAAGGTGACAGAAATTACAAGCTGGCCAAAAGGGTCTGAGTGCTATGAATCACATTCTTAATTTTTATTATGATTATTTGTTCATTAACTGGCTTGTCCTGGGTCCAGCTATTTTTCTCCATTAAAAATGCCTAATAAATATATAGCTAGTGAAAGCATATTGAGAACCTAGCCCTATGTTAGGTGCTATGAAAATAAAACATGTCTGAGCCATGACACATGCCACAACCTCCTTGGGAATACCAATCTAGAAACTAGGCAGAGGTGTAACACAAGAATACAAGCAGAGGGTAAGGAGGAGAGCAGAGGTTCGTGAACTTTAGGCAAACTTCTCGGGTGGAATTTAAGCTACGCCCATAGGAACAAATAGAATTTAGACAGAGAGGGGAGCAACTACAGAATTCCAGGAGAACAGCATCCTGGAGATATAGCAGGAAATAATGTTATAATGAATTGATATGCAGTATGTTTAAGCTGGCTCAGTACAACCGCCTCCAAATCACTGTGGAAATTTGACCATTAGAAATTCATTTGTTTGGATAGTTTCTTTAAAAAATGTGCACACCCAGGCACTAGTTCATGAACCTCATAAATACTTGAACTTTGGAGTCAGACATCCTGGATTTGATTCCTAGCTATGCCACTACCTAGCTGTGTGACTTTGGGCAAAATTACCTAAGCTCTGTGTCTTAGTCTGTTAGGGCTGCTATAACAAAGTCCAGATTACGTGGCTTATAAACAACAGAAATTTATTTTTCACAGTTCTAGAGGCTGCAAGTCCAAGACCAAGGTGCCTACATGGTTGGATTCTAGTGAAGGTTTGCTTTCTGGTTGACACCTTCTTGCTGTATTCTCACATGGTGGAAGGGGTGAGAGAACTCTCTGAGGCTTCTTCCATAAGATCACTAATCCCATTCATGAGGGCCCCATCCTCATGACATAAGCACCACCCAAAGGACTCACAGGGCGATACATCATCTTGGGGGTTAAGATTTCAACAAAAGAATTTTGAGAGGATACAAATGTTCATATCAGAGCACTCTTTGAGTCTTGCAGTATAAATACTAACAATTAAGAGTGGTCATCAGCAACTTCATGCCATCTCTGAGTGCTCTCTTCCCAGCAGCTGGATGGGACAGAGCAGGCTGAAGAAATGCACTTTTCGTTAGGCAGAGCTCCAAGATAATCAAATAGTAAGATCAATGCAAACACTTACATGGTGTTAATTGTGTACAAGGCACTATTCTAAGCATTTTATATGTATTAAGTCCTTTAATCCTTCAACATCCCAGTGAGGTACTACTATCCTCCTGTTTACATAGGAGGAAACAAAGACACTGGGAGTTGAAGAACTTGCCCACGAGTTCATGTGGGTGGACAATGGCAAAGCCAGCTTTATTTTTTCATTTATTTTTACTAGTTAGAGGCTAATTACTTCACAACATTGCAGTGGGTTTTGTCACACATTGAAATGAATCAGCCATGGAGTTACATGTATTCCCCATCCCGATCCCCCCTCCCACCTCCCTCTCCACCTGATTCCTCTGGGTCTTCCCAGTGCACCAGGCCAGAGCACTTGTCTCATGCATCCAACCTGGGCTGGTGATCTGTTTGACTATAGATAATATACATGCTGTTCTCTCGAAACATCCCTCCCTCGCCTTCTCCCACAGAGTCCAAAAGTCTGTTCTGTACATCTGAGTCTCTTTTTCTGTTTTGCATATAGGGTTATCATTACCATCTTTCTAAAGTCCATATATATGTGTTAGTATACTGTATTGGTCTTTATCTTTCTGGCTTACTTCACTCTGTATAATGGGCTCCAGTTTCATCCATCTCATTAGAACTGATTCAAATGAATTCTTTTTAATGGCTGAGTAATATTTCATGGTGTATATGTACCACAGCTTCCTCATCCATTCGTCTGCTGATGGGCATCTAGGTTGCTTCCATGTCCTGGCTATTATAAACAGTGCTGCGATGAACATTGGGGTGCGTGTGTCTCTTTCAGATCTGGTTTCCTCGGTGTGTGTGCCCAGAAGTGGGATTGCTGGGTCATATGGCAGTTCTATTTCCAGTTTTTTAAGGAATCTCCACACTGTTCTCCATAGTGGCTGTACTAGTTTGCATTCCCACCAACAGTGTAAGAGGGTTCCCTTTTCTCCACACCCTCTCCAGCATTTATTGCTTGTAGAATTTTGGATAGCAGCCATCCTGACTGGCATGTAATGGTACCTCATTGTGGTTTTGATTTGCATTTCTCTGATAATGAGTGATGTTGAGCATCTTTTCATGTGTTTGTTAGCCATCTGCATGTCTTCTTTGGAGAAATGTCTGTTTAGTTCTTTGGCCCATTTTTTGATTGGGTCATTTATTTTTCTGGAATTGAGCTTCAGGAGTTGCTTGTATATTTTTGAGATTAATCCTTTGTCTGTTGCTTCGTTTGCTATTATTTTCTCCCAATCTGACGGCTGTCTTTTCACCTTGCTTATAATTTCCTTTGTTGTGCAAAAGCTTTTAAGTTTCATTAGGCCCCATTTGTTTATTTTTGCTTTTATTTCCAATATTCTGGGAGGTGGGTCATAGGGGATCCTGCTGTGATTCATGTCGGACAGCCAGCTTTAAATTCTGCATCTGGCCCCAGGGTCCCTGCTGTTAACCACCACATCATACTGCCTCTCTGTTTAATAACAGGTGAGGACAGAAGCCCTTAGAGAAGGTTCTGTGGAGGCGGTGGGAAAGAGCAACCATGTCTGCAGTCAAGTGTCCTGCTGGACACCACTCAGCTTCAAATAAATTGGCCTGAGAAATGTGTGTGTTGGCTTTGAGGATACAGGGGAGATTTGGGAGGGGAGCACAGATAAGCCTAAATGGCATTTTATCAGGAGAATTCGCTGTTCTTTTCTGGTTTTGAAACATCTTGAGGCCTCCGTTTGGTCATCAGATAATCCTTAAGGTCCCTTCCAAAGCTGAGAAGCTGTGAAAATGAAAAACTGAGGGACATCATTAAAGTCGACGTTGATTCATGCTGAGAGCCAGGGGTTGTGCTGGGAGATTTGAAGAATAAATCAGAGAGCATATTTGAGAATAAACAGCACATCATGAAAATAGCAAGAGTTCATAATTACAGTGAGTCACCATATGTCGGTTCATGATAGCTACCAGAGGCAAGAACTTACCTTAAAGAGTGAAGTTTGGCCAAAAAAATTAAACAAGATGGTGTGTAAGCTGCTAAGAGGAATTCTCTCCCTCAGTGATTTAGGTAAATATATGGAGGCCAAAGCTCTCCCCAGGGGGACTTTGTCTAGGGAAATCTGTCAAGGAAAACCAGGAAATAAAAAACAGAGTCATCATCCATCAGCTTGAAGTCCTCCCCACTTTCTGCCCCAACCCCAGCCTCAGCCAGGGCTGAAGGGTGAGAACTAGCTCTACCAGCTATGCAAATCTTTTATTGAGTGGACCAAAAAGCTCCTTCAGGTTTTTGAACAATGTTATTGAAAAACTTTTGTTGCGGCTGAATGAACATTTTGGCCAACTCAATACATGCACACACTCAGATTACAGGCCAAGATGTGACCCAGGGGGAGCACAGACCCAGACACACACACACACACCACTTTTCCTTTCTTGACCTATCCTTATTTCTGTCCCTTCAATCTGCTTCCACCTGGATATTCATAGAGGTGGAACAGGGATGACAGATAAGGTGATTTGCCATAATTCTCAGGAATAAAGGCCAGTCTTCAAAAGCAGGCTACCTTCTCCCATACAGTTCTGAGAGAGGAAGAAAAAAAAAAACAGAAAAAACCAACACAGTGACATTAGGCATTGTCTTACAGTTTATTGAGCAATGCTTTTCTTAAAAAGTGGGTCAGGGAAGTGAGGCATTAGGCCTTAGGAATTAGAGGCTCACTATTAGAAGAGTTTGCTGATTTGATAGGTGCGTGTGAGCATGTTAAGTCGCGTCAGTTGTGTCCGACTCTTCACAACCCCAAGGACTATAGCCTGCTAGGCTCCTCTTTCCATGGGATTCTCCTGGCAAGAAGACTGGAATGGGTTGCCATTCCCTTCTCCAGGGGATCTTCCCAACCCAGGGATCGAACCCACGTCTCTTATGTCTCCTGTGTAGGCAGGCAGGTTCCTTATTGCTAGCACCACCTGGTAATAGTATTTGATAAGTACAAGTATATTTTTGAGAGTGAAAGAGGGCTTTATCAATAATTACACTGGAACCACAGTTGCAAACCTGGACTCCCCCAGGAAAAACAAGGGTATATGAGACCCTTACATGCATCCTGTCATTGAAACTCTCTATTGACTCTGAAAGATATACAGTATTATATCAGGAAATGAAGGCTTAGAAAGGTTAAGTGACTTGTCTAGGGTCACACAGCTGGGATGTAGCTGAACAAACATAAATGTAATCTGCACCCACATTTTCCCCATTATCCATTTTGCTTTTCAAGGAACAATTATCTTGCTGGGTATATCATGGGGAGATGAAAGTTTGTAATATTTCTGAAAATGAATTGTGAGCCCAAAAGCCACAATTGAACTGGCACAAATGAACTTTGCTACAATCAAGTACTATGAAGAGGTGATGATTTAGCTTCAACATGTGAGTGATTTTGGTACCAAGAAGTTCATTGGGGTTGCTGGGCTTTTTTCTTGACCAGGGTCTTTAATAGAAAACCCTATATGTAAACAAAATGCAGTGGGAAGACATTTACTTCCAGTATGGTTGAGTAGCTCCAGATGGACTCAGCCTTCCTACATATAACAACTATACAGATTACAATGACTTGAAGACACTGGAAAATGAACAAAACCAGGCAGGCTCTGGAGAAGAGTAGACACTTGGAAAAAAGTGGCATCACAAGGTGAATTCGCTGTTTTTACAGCTGTTAGCCAGATGACAGCCTGAAACAAACACTGTGAAAGACACTCAAAATTCTGATAGAAAACCTTCAGTCTTTGTGGCATGAAGAACCAGAAAACAAAGGTCAAAGTAACTACCGCCACTGGGAGGTCAAAGGGAGATCTTGGAAAGGAGAGAGCTAGTGATGGGGAGCCAAAATTCTGAGTGTAAACTCAGCCTGACCTCAGAACCACATATATATAGGACAGACTTCAACTAAGGATAAAGGAATTTAACTGACATTTGAGCTGCCATCCAAGAGTTGGAATCTAGTTTGACTCCAACCATGTTAATTGTCTGGTATAACAAAAATAAATAATTTTCAGAGAAACACAGAAAAACCCAGAGTCTCCACAATATACCATTCACAAAAGCCAGGACATAATCCAAAGTTACCCTATATGTTAAGAAAAAATGAAAATGACCGATTTAAAGTGAAGACAGTCAATGGAAATCAATCTTGAGATTACTCAGATGTTAGAATTAGCAGACAAGGATTTTAAAGTAGTTAGTATAATTATGCTTAAGCACTTAAGTGTTTAAAGAAAATACACTTGCAATTATGCTAAAGGAGTAAATAACAGAGAAACAGAAGCAAAAAAGAACAAAATGGAAATTTTAGAACTAAAAATACAATATTGAAATTTTTAAAAATTGCACTCAGTGGACTCAGTAGTAACATGAAGATGACAGAGGTCAGTGTACTTGAAGAGAAATCAATAGAAATCATACTATCAGAAGACTAAATAGTAAAATGATTGCAAACATGAACACAGTCTCAGGGACCTGTGGGGCAGCATCAAAAAATCTTACATCTGTGTAATCAGAATCCCTAAAGGAGAGGAGAGAATGGTGAAGAACCAATATTTAGAAAAATAATGGTGGAAATCTCCCCAAATTTGGTGAAAGACATAAATTTACAGATTCAAGAAACTCCGCAAACTTCAAATGGGAAAAATATAAAGAAACACATGCCTAGGCACATAATAGTCAAACTGCAAAAAAAAAAAAAGAGAGAAAATATTGAAAGCAAAGAGAGAAAAATGACACATTACACATCACAAATAGAGAAACAAAATTCAGATGACTACTGATTTCTGATCAGAGAACATGGAGGCCAGAGTAGAATGGAACAACATCTAAAATGCTGTCAATCCAGAATTCCATAGTAAACAAAAATACCCTTCAAATAAAGGCCAAAAAAAAATTTTTTTTCAGATAAACGAGAGCCAGGAAAATTCATTATCATTAGACCATATACTACAAGAAGTGCTAAGTGAATTTCTTCAAATTGAAGGGAAATGTCACCAGACCTTCAGGAAGAAATGAAGAATATTGAAAATGATAAACATCTTGATAAACATAGGGCTTCCCTGGTGACTCAGATGGTAAAGAATTTGCCTGCAGTGCAGGAGACCCAAGTTCAATCCCTGGATCAGGAAGATCTGCTGGAGAAGGGAATGGCAACCCACTCCAGTATTCTTGCCTGAAGAATCCCATGGACAGAGGAGACTGGTGGGTTCCACGGGGTTGCAGAGTCAGACACAACTGAGCAACTAAAACTTTCACACTTTCCCTGGTGACTCAGACAGTAAAGAATCTGTCTGAAATGCAGGTTCAATCGTTGAGTCAGGAAGATCTCTTGGAGAAGGGAATGGCTACCCACTCCAGTATTCTTGCCTGGAGAATCCCCTGGACAGAGGAGCCTGATGGGCTACAGTCCATGGGGTCACAAAGAGTTGGACATGACTGAAGCCACTGAGCTTGCAAACATAAAACCCTACTTTTAGTCTCAATTTCACAAGACCCTTTAAAGCAATGATTATAACATTGTCTAGTGGAGTTTCTGATCTTGTTAGTAATAATACATATGACAACTATAACATAAAAGACAGAGGGTATAGGGACTTCTTTGACAGTCCAATGGTTAAAACTCTGTGTGTCCGCTGCAGAGGGTGCAGGTTTGATCCTTGGTCAGGGAACTAAGAGCCTGCATGCCACACAGCCAAAAAGAAGAAAAAAAAACCCAGAAAGAGTGAGAGATAAAATTTCTTGAACTGAACAAAAGTGAAAATACAGCATATGAACCTAAAAGCATTTTTAAAAAGACAGAGGGTATGTATAGATATGAATGGTTAAAGTTTCTACATTTTCCATGAAGTGGTACAATAGTACCTCTAAGTAGACTGCAAAAATATAAGGATGTATATTGTAATCTTTAGAGCAACCATTAATAATGCAAATAGACATAACTAAAGAGGCAGAAAAAATTAAAATTCAATTAAAAAAATATTAAATCAAAAGGAACAAAAACCAGAAGGACAGAGAAAATAAAATCAAATGGTAGTCCTAAATACACAACCATATCAAAAATTATGTTAAATGTTAAAGAAGTACACACTCTATTAAAAGGCAAATATTTTCAGATGGATAAAAAATGAAACACAAATTGTGTGCTATCTATAAGTGCACAAATACAAAGTAAGTGGTTGAAAAAAATATTATATATGTATATGTATACATACAGTAAGTATAAGAAAGTTAGAATGACTATATTAAAACCAGATAAAATAGATTAGAAGACAAAGGGTATTATCAGAAATAAGAAAGGCTATTTCATAATGATAAACAGGTTAGGATTAGAGGTATAGTCAGGAAGACATGACAACATAAGTGTATATTCACTTAATAAACAAAGCAAAATGTGATGCAACTAAAGGGATAAATACACAATTTCACAATCCAAGTTAGAGATCTTAGCACCCCTTTAAACTAGGAAACAACCAAGAAAAAAATCAGTAAAAATGTAAATGATCTGAACACTATCAACCACCTTGAGATTTAATTGATATTTGCAGTACAGCATATCCGACAACTGTAGAATGCAAATTTTTTCAAGTGCACATGAAGCACCAAGGTTTTCAAGTGTATGAAACACCAAAATAGATCATACACTGGGATGTAAATCAAATATCCATAAATTTAAATGGATTGAAGTTAAACTGAATATATTCTGTAACCAGAATGAAATAAACATGAAATCAACAGCAATAATATATCTTAGATATATCCCAAATATTTGGGACTTAACAAGTACACTCCTGGACTTCCCTGGTGGTCTAGTGGTTAAGACTTTGCCTTCCAATGAGGGGTTGCAGGTTTGATCCCTGGTGGAGGAGCTAAGATCCCACATGCCTCATGGCCAAAAACCAAAACATAAAGTGGAAGCAATATTGTAACAAATTCAACAAAGGTCCACATCCAAAAACTCTTTAAAAAATAAACAAAAGAATACACTCCTGAATAATTCATGGATCATAGAAGAAAGTAGGAAATACTTTGAACTGCTGCTGATGAAAATACAACGTATCAAAAATTGCAGACTACAACTTAAAG